CATCTAAACAAGACCTTAGATGTAGGAGCATAGATTGAAAGCACCTTGTATTGAATCTACCCAGATCTAGATATAACCCTGCCTTATCAATTCTATATTTAGATTTATTAGGCCTAACTTTTCGAACAAATGTTACATCTAGATCTATTAACTTAGTCATTAGATCTGTCCCAGTGCAATGCCTAGTTTAATAGTTAGTATAGATCTACATATGTCTATAATATAGGCTACAATTTGTATGATGATGGATCTAGGGTCTAGAAATAAAGTTATAACTGCAATTAGACCTAAAGTCTAGTACATTAGTTGGTGTAAGACATGACTTACAATCAGCCAATACAATTACAAACCACTACATTTAAAACTGCAAGCGTAATACACACAACTAACGTAACACTGTGTCGTATTTACTTAACGTTGGGCAGTTGCGCTATATCCTAGGTGAGGGCATAATTATCAATTAATAGGCATTATAGGCCAGAGGAAATTTTGCGCCCCTTCACACCTGCGCCCGGGGGCGACTGCCCCTCTTGCTACGCCACTGATTATGCCACACATAGGCTAAACGGTTTAGCCAGAGACAACTAACTTCAGTCATAACCATATCTTAATGTATGATCGATAACTATAGGAAAGGCAATTAGTTAGCAGCATCCGACGTCCACGCGGCTACACTTAACCCAATAGCAGAATTTACCATCACAATTATGATTCTTGTACAGCTCAAAGTGCTCCGCGGCATATTGCGGCTCAAACCTAAGACCTTTAGTTCCATAGCCTGGCACACTAACCAGTAGGGCAGTCCTGAGTCCTTGTTTAGTTAGAAACGTTTAGCTTAAAATATATGCATTAAGTTACTTCGACTTTAATTTACTCTCAAGGAATCTAGTTTGCGTTTTCGGCTGTAACGTTAAGTTATTGTTATTATTATATTTTACTCAGTTTTTACTGAAAGTCTTATTGAAATACATGTACAATAAAGTTGGAAGATGTATCATCTTACACGTTCTTCTACTCGGGTCACACGTTTTGTATCGACAAGAAAGAATGACATACATATATGTTAACGCTACGCTCGAAGTAATAATTTCACGTAATTACTTGAAACGTTTGTGTGGCAAGGCATTTTATTTCATTTTTTGTTGGTTAATTTTTGCAATACTTTTGGTAAAGGTAACACTGACAGTTTAGCGAGTTCTTACAAGGCTTTTCTCGCATTAGACCCTGATAAGCAATAAATTAAAATCAGATATTGGTGATGAAGCATAGGCGTAAGAAGCAATAAAATAGTAGGACGGTGGTGGGACGTGGGTTGTTTCGTGATGGTATTAAATTTTGTTCGCAAACTGTACTTATTTTTATGGTAATCTTGCACATTCAGTCATATTGTTATCTTGTACTGTAATTTAAATTTACATTGTACTTACAATATTCTTCAAATATTGGAATCAAATTATGCATAAAATAATCCAAATTTTAGTCGGATATAACCAAGGTAAGCCAGTAGATTCCAACGTCTATGAGTTAAAGAATACAATTTTCAAAATTATCGAGGGATCATCAGAGATTTGTGTATTCTATTTATTACTAAATAACGTCGGTAGTACCCTCAAGTTCCAGGCAGCTTGACATGCACATTTTAGTTGTGTACGAAAGTGAAGGAAAGAAACACTGTTCTCAATGAGCCGATAATCTAAAAAAAAAAAAAAAAAAAAAGAGAACCAGAGTGATTGTGAAACATACCAGGACTCCAACAGAGACCTTTGGACATTTTCATGATGTTGAAGATAAAGGGTCAGCTAAAAGTTGGTCAGAATTCTTACAAATCTCACAGAGTATGCTTACCAGGATGTGGACTCAATTTCAGACCACGAATACAGTTGGTTGTTGACCTGAACAGGGTAGACCACTGTCGATAACTCTACAAGATGACTGTTGTTTGAAGATATGGAATCGAAGCAATCGACTGACCTCAGCTTTCTAACTGAATCGACAGTTCAGAGCAATAACTAGACGACAAATCTGCATTCACACGATCAGAAACAGATTTCGTAAGGGTTAGTCTTAATGCTACACGACCAATAATATATATTTGCGTATCAAATCACATGAGTGGTCATCTGACTGTCGTTTTGCATATAAATAATTTCAGGGATACCACTGATATTATTCAATAGTAGTAGTGTGCTCTGTCATAGCTAGAGTATAGGAAACTATGGTGATCCCTTATTTATTTTGAGTAGAGTACAATACCAACTAAAAATATGTTAGAAATCCGATATTAAAATTAGAAACTGCCCTCAAAGAAAAGCATCAAATTTTAGGTTTGTCTGTGATATTACGGGAAGTAGAAACAATTGCATATATTTGAGTCACAACGTTTATTACACACAAAAAATCTACGACTCTTAAATCATTCTTCAGTTTAGTTTAAAACAAATGAAAGGTTTTAAGATGCACACACATATCCTTTATTTAAAATTGGTTGAGAGCAGGACCTGACCTAGTGGTTAGCGTGCTCGAACTTTGAATTAGAAAGTTTATGATTCGGGGCTCGTTGCCACAGAATTGTGCTCCGCACCTTGGGGCCGTGGGTACGCTATCAAAGCGATGGCCAAGTCCCACTGTTCCATTAAATGATAGTAGTCCAAGAGTTAGGAATTGGTGCTGTTGACTAACTTCCTTCCTTCCAGTTTATCATTTCAGAATTAGGGACGGCAATACACACTGTTACTGATAGCTTTTAGTGTAATTTTGTGCGGAAATCCTTAAGGAAACACGATTTTATCAGAAAAGATGGTTATTGATATCAACGTTTGTTTCGAGTACATTGAACAGTTACACCATTGGTCATGTACGTACATGTATGCCTGTAGGCTATAAACAAATATTAATACGCACCTTTCGTTTCGTTTGTCTTACAGGTTTCTACCCATCTTTACTTAACTATTCATCACCTTATTAAATTTGTGTTTTGAAAGAGTGTATGTAAAACATAAATCATATTTAACAATCACTTATTTTAAACTTCTGAACAATGATCTACCATTATTTCTACACTTATCTCGCTGCCATTTTAAGAAACAAGAGCGAATATGTAGGTGTTATCTCTATGCTCGAAAAGCAAGAAGCTCGCGAATCCATTGTTAAACAGTTACCGAGTTAGTAAAAACGTTTTGCATGTTATAAAATGTTAGATAACTTATGTAATTGATTGAAAAAGACGCACTGCTGAATGGGTTGCGTACGAAAATAATGTGCATTTCCACCCCTCTGACAGTATATCAAATCATTTAAGCACTGAACATATTGTTGCGTCAGCGAGGTCACGTGACTAGTGTCACGCCACGTTTTCTAGAAATATCCTGTTCATTCGTGAATGCCCTAACATTTACTAGATATATGTTAGTCTGGTATATATATATAAGACGCTCACAACGTGACGGGACAACAGTGTAATGAGTATTTGAATGTATGCGGACAAAATATTGTTGGCCATGTGAGATATAGCATTTGTTATAGCGCGACTGTTGAAAGTAAGTGTATCGTAAAGTTGTATTCGGAAAAATAAACCAGTTTTATTAAGTAAGGACTTGTGTCGCTAAAGTTTCGTCGGAACGAAGTTACGGAAAATCAACTAACGAACGGAGACGTAACAAATTGGTGTCAGAAATGGAACGAAAAAACAATGGAAACTAGAGGCGGAAAATCAAACTACAGCTTAGCAGACTTGATGGCAGCATTACAAGAGCAGCAAAAGAAACAAGAAGAACGAGAAAATGAAGGAGAAAAGAAACAAGAAGAGAGACAACAGCAGCTGCAAGAAAACCTGCAACAGTGGCAGCTCGAACAACAAAATAAACAAGAAAAG